GCGTTTCGACAGTACGAGAGCGCGATGGGATCAGCAGCAGCAACCGGGGATCGGCTGTGCCAAATGGAGGCGATGGACGGCGCCGCGAGGTGTCTCGAAGCCCTTCGACTGCAACACAAAATCTGCAACTGTCGACCTCTCGAGTTCAACACGAGACTGCTGGAAGTCGCTGGATCGGTCGGTGCTAAGGTAATCTCCCGCTAAAAAGTTAACAGGTCCTCAATCATCGATTGAACGACAGTGGTTGAAAACCGACTTACTAGAAAGGCAGAACTAATTTATTATTAAAGCGAAAATAATCGCATAGCTCAGCGACCAATGTAATCAAACGCTAACACAATCCCGTAGCTCAGCGACTAGTGTAATCAAACACAAAGCCTGTCTCCTAGCCGAGCGACTATAATGTAATCCATGATGACTGTATAAGGAGTCCTAACTGTGTAGTGTAGAAGTATTATCAAAATCCCGAGCTTGAAGCTATAAATATTTCTACTAATCGCGGCGCAAGTAAGCACAGACTACGATATACAGGGTGTCCCAAAAGTCGGGGAGGAGCCGGAAATGGGGGATAGCTGAGACGATTCTGTACAACAATTTCCTTTGCAAAAATGTCGGATGGGGCTTCGTTAAGGAGATATTAAGAGAATACCCCGACCAATCAGAGCGCGCGTAGACCGTTCGAGCGGCCGTGGTAGCGAAGGCTACGCGCGCTCTGATTGGTCGGGGTATTCTCTTAATATCTCCTTAACGAAGCCCCATCCGACATTTTTGCAAAGGAAATTGTTGTTCAGAATCGTTTCAGCTATCCCCCATTTCCGGCTCCTCCCCGACTTTTGGGACACCCTGTATATATATATATATATATAGTAGCTGTGCGCACTTGCACCGCGAGTGTACGAAATATTCATAACTTCAAGTTCGGGATTTTGCTAACAGTTTTCTAGTAACTTTCTTAGGGAGTTGGATCTCCTTATATAGTCTTCATGATGTAATCAAAATGTATCCATACTCACTCACCTCCGTTTGATTCCATTTAAAAGTGAAAAACGAAAGCAGAATGGTTTTCAACCATAAAACTTTCCGTTGGTTCGTAACCTTTTATATCTTCGCCGTCTCTGAAAATACCAGTTCCTGGTACGAACCGTAAGGTCGAGGCTGTCGCGTATCTACGGCTCCCTTGGGGACGAGGAACAAAAGGCTCATCACGAGAGGCTAGCCGCTGCGATGGAGGAGGATCTGGAGTTGCGATGCGGCGGTTGCAACGAGCCGTTCGGTCTCGAAGCGGACTCCCTGGAGGCCCTGCCCTGCTCTCACATTCTACACGCCAGGTGAAACGCGAGCGTCGCGGATTCATGTAATAAAAGTAACGTTGTTTTCTTGATCTTTGACCAAGCCGTGCGTGATTTTCAGGTGCGCGTACGACATCTTGAAAAGACGCGACAAGAAGAAGAAACGTCTGTGCCCCGACTGCCACAAGTCGGTTAGTTCACGATTGTACCTGCATTGCGAGGACCCTCACGGCATGAATACTTTGAATCACAGTTCCTTGAGTCTGGCATCGCTGAGAGCCAGCAGTCTAGCTACACTGGACGACTGTCACGCAACCAGCAGCGTCTAACTGTATCACCTAAGACACGATAACCGCGTGCGAGACGTCCGATTTCGTTCGATCGCGCGATAACAATCGAATCCTTGCCGCACGATCCGGAACAGGATCGCGGGCAATTCCCAACGTCAAGATTACATGGAATGTAATCGCGGAACGCGATAAGTACGCCTAACTCGCGGGCTCTACGCGATCAAACCACGCGCAATTTTGCCAACTAAAAACCATTAGATAACATTCTTAAACCTTAAACACGGTTTATCGGTAATCTTACGAATGAATTAGGGCAACAAAGTTTAAAGAAAACTAGCACGATTCGAAAAGACTTAATGGCAATAAAAATGCACATCCACAGTGTTTGTCTACCTTAATCATTTAACCCTTTGTTAGTATAGGCGCGCTCTGATTGGTCAGTGTTTTCCGTTAATATCTCCTCAACGAAGCCTCGGATAACATTTTCGCTAAGGAAAAAGTTGTTTCAAATCACCTCCCGAATCACCTTTTTCAAGATGTTACAACATTTTTGGGATACCCTGTAGATACCTGCGCTGTGATTCATGATTCATGGACCAAAAGTCAGTATCGCCATCTCGCGGTAAAAGAAAAACGAACTAATTTTGGAACCTTCGGCTCAAGTTTGTACTATTGTGCCGCCAGATGGCGAACGACGTAGTACACTGGTGACGTCATCGGTGGTTAAATTCCCAAGTTTGTAGTGACAATAGTTCCCACTGATCCTGCTAGGTGGCGCCACCTATACCTGTAAGTGATTATTCTTTATTTTCCATAAATGCATAATTTCAACTCAATTCTTTGCTTTATACACTTCAAGATAGTGTTATTATGTATAATTTCTCATTCTTATGAATAATTCTGCAATAATTATGAATTCTTTAGTTAGTGGCGTCATCTAGCAAAAACAGTATAAACTATTGTCGGCACAAACTTGGACGTTTTCCCACCGATGGCGCTAGTGATACTAAACGCCACTCGCCATCTGACGAGAACAGTGGGAACTACCACGCTGCCCATTACTTTCGAAAATAAATTTATCAATAGTTCAACTATTATTTATTAAATATATCATTGCATTTTGAAAATGAATACATTTTAATTAAATTGTATGTACACAAATACATTAAAATGTAATGATATGTATTTAACTATTTATTGAATGGATCGCTAACCTATTACAAAGCTAAAATTACGGCAACTAGAATTTCAATAATTTCACGCACTAATTAGAAACTTGTAAATAAGAACGGGTATGCATTTAGCATATGATATTCGCCTGAAACGGCAACAATTAATAGACTTTTTTGTATGTACACAATGTGCAGCTTGTACTAAATGTAAACAGCGTGTTTAACCTACAAACTTCGGACTTATCTACTTTTTAGTCAATAATTAAACAAAGTAGTTTTATAAGACGTGTCCATGTAGATCAGAATTTAACGTTTTGGCCTTTCATGTACGAAAATGCCAACCGTTATAGCATTAGACGTATCTTTGTCGATGAGACGTCCGGTATTAGGATGTGGATCGACTGAGAATAATCAAAACGAACAGTTGACGAGGCATCATTTAGCAGTACACGGTATAAATGCATTATTGCATTATTTGCAAGTGAATTCAAAGTTAGAATTTGTGTCTTTAGTAAGTATATATGTTTTATAAAAACTATTGCTGTATTATTTGTAATTAACTGCTCAATTTTTTCATCGATTCAGGTTGTTTTCTCCTCGTTGTATGAAGTTGTTTGTCCATTCACTCGTGATTATGACAGCATACGTTCAAAATTGCAAAATATAGAAGAATGTGATAAGACTTGTATAGAAACTGCTCTTCACGGCGTTAACAATGTTATTATGGCGGAATGGGGTAATACCACAGCTTGTCAAGTGGTACTAATTACAGATGGTAATCCTGGAGTAGGTCCAATGTCATTAGGTGACTCATTGAACTCTTTAAATGTGACAAGGGATGTAAATCCATTTCCATTACCATTTCCTTATCCAGGAAAACTAAGCGTCGTTTGCATTGCACCACAACAAGGTATACCTAACAAATAAGAGTTTTTAACAATTTTTATAAAAAATTCGTTATCTCGCATTACATTTTGACACTTTATTTAGATGCTGGTTTACATATGGGTTTACCATTGTATCAGCGATTAGTTGAATTAGCTGGTGGTGATAGTGTGGTACTTGTACCTGAAGCACCACTTTCTAAGCATACAGTCACAGCTTGTTTCCAAAAATTAGCAGAAAGTAATTACGTTTCTTTCCAAGGGTATTTGAAATGCGGGAATTTAGGTTCCTGTATTCTTTTATCCCCAGCACCTATGGTGAGCAAGAAAGTATATAAAAAAAAATAAACATTTGCTACTCTGGATCTGATACATGATTACTATTTTAGCCTTATACTAAAAAGACAGACTTTGAGTTAGTTTCTGGTTTAATGATATCAAAAACCATAGAAATTTGTGGATTTATATCAGTAGCAGACGTCGGCAGTCCCAGCGCTATATCTAGGCATTTAGTTTTACCATTAGCTACAGAGAAGAGTCCAAGTATGCAAGGTATATCTCTAGAAGAAGACTCAGACACAGACGAGAACGGGGACGAAGGGAAAATACCGTCTTTTTGCGTGTTATTACACGGAGCATTGAAGGTAGTCAATGTTCAACAAAATTTTATTTTATTTTTTAATTAATTAGGATACGTCGATGATTCTTGTACGCTTGCTACAGGTGGAAAATATGGTGGCGCTCTGTTTGTTAAATAACGAGTGGTATGGTTTTATATACTCGTGGGCGGATACCAAAAAAAAATCGAACTTAATGCTGACAGTGTTAGAACCAGGTTTAGACGTTGTGCCTTGGTTAGGTAATTTCAGTAATCTCGGTCCAGTCGATGCAGCTAAAGGTGCAGCTGTTAGCTTTCCAGTCAGACCAAATGAAAAGAGGAGTTACACCCAGAATGCACCTTCTTGGATTCGTCAAGTTGGCCTGCAATCTGATATTCAGAAAATTTTAAGGCATGCAAGAAAATTACCGGAGAAAACACAAAACTTCTATAAGGTAAAATGATAATAAATCGAATCGTGGACTCTGTTTCTCTGATGTTTGAATTTTCATGTAGGAAGTAAACCGACTGCGCAGAGCTGCCGCATCGATGGGATTCGTGGAACTTTTAGAAGGATTGGCGTGCATCTTAGAAAGAGAATGTACATTACTACCTCCAAATTTGAATCCTGATTGTACAATCCAAATGGGTCATGTAGCTTCTATGATAAGAAAACCAGAATTTCTCGAACTTAGGTACAATATACCTCCCGCGCGTACTAGATTTCAACATGGAGGATCATAGATAAGGCAATAGCGACATTTGTGATACATTATTATATTTACCAGAATAGTAATAATTTTTACATTAATAGCAATTTTAATGTTTTACAATGTGGCCAATTTTTATTAAAAATACATTTGAAAAACTGTCAAAATTATCCTGCAATTCTTCTTAATTATGTATCCCTCGAGCATTGAATCATATAACATAAAATGTGGTGCAAGCCTTTTGCAGTTTGAAGACTTGAGTATTTATGAAAATCAGGAACGTGAACAAATAATGTTTTGGTAGAATTTATTTGTAAAGATTTGTAAAATATATATTCGCATAGATATCTGCCTGCATCATATGAAATGCAGGCATTGCACTTTGTTTTGTTTGAATGTTTATTGACTTTATCACAGATTGTATCGACATTGATACCAGTTTTTAGAATCTGGTATGAAATTGTACTTTCATCTGGACATTTATCATAAATGTCCTTTCGTACGTAACCATTGCTATTCGCGCAACACTCTATCGTTAAGCAGTCTGCTTTGTGTGATACACCTACATGTAGAACTACCTACAAAAAGAATTCCTTATATTTCAAAAAACATGATAAAATTTTATTAAAAATAAAGATTTACCGTGGGTTTGTATTCCTCCCAGAGTGTAGGTATATAATTATCGACATCCTCATACGAAACTGGAATCTCTTGGACAATTAGCTTGACATCCTTCAATTCTTTCGAATTAGCGGCTAATTTATTTAACTCTTTCACAGCTTCCCAGCTGGCATTAACGATGTGATTGTCAAATGGACCGAAACCAGTTACTAAAGCTGTATATTTAAAATCCGAATCCATTGTTAGTACGTATTGTTACATTGAAACGCTCCTATCTTTGTTCTTTATGTTTAAACATTCCGCGTTTATCGTTATGTAAATATAAGATACTCTGATAACAATGATAACGCAATGACGATCATGTTACGAAAAAATTGTGTTGCTCGATGATTAGATTTTAAACATATAGTACCTGAAATAAATTTTCATTTGTTGAGAAAAAATTATAAGATTATTTATACGATAAACTTATTCTTGGATTTCTTTTTTTATTTAAATTGCTATTGAAAATATCTATGCATGTGAACAAACAGTGCTACGTAGAGGGCGTTACAGGGCGTTTGAAATAGTTTGAAATTGTTGGATGTAATGCAAACATGTCTATATAGATTAGTGTTTTTCAAAATGAATTTCAAATTCTGGAAAATTATATAGTGGAGAAAAAACAATCTTTCTCATAATATTGTATTCTTGCGAAATTTGGAAAATTCCGAGATGGGCGAAACCCTAGGCTTCGAATAAATCTGAAGTTTGCCGATATGTTTGTCCCGTTTCCTTCTTTTGAAAATAATCAAGAGAGGAAACGAGACAAACATATCGGCAAACTTCAGACTGATTTACATCTACTGAAATCTAAACTCAACTTCTTTCTCCAACGTATGAACCACTGTCTAGTTTGTGCTTTACCAATGATACACGAGAAAGAACCAGTTAGGGAAAATGGCTGACTATGCATTAGGTCGTGTTTTGACAATTTCACGTCTTTGATTACGGTAGTCGGAAATACAGTGCGTCATATGTTAAAATATGATTTCGATCGTAACGTGAGATAAATACTTTAGTGGTGGCTAAAAATATCTGTCGGTACACGTGACTCGATCGTCTAAGAAAATCCTGTCAAAACTTGTCTGGACATGTTTTAAGAAGTAGCTGCCATCAGGAAATACTCATTATGCTCGCTTAAAAAGTTCGTAAACAGCCTTTGTGTGGACATTACTGGTATAATAGAACCTTTTACACTATTGGTAAGTATCTCATTCGCATTTGCATAGTGGAGGAAAACAGACTGGATTCTGTCGTAAATAATAACAGGTACGTTATTTTTTGTCGAAACTTACGAATTATTGCAAACTTTGTTTTAGATAATCGAAAATTTATACCGATTGGCAACTTATGTGATATAATATAATGATATTGTATAAGATGAAAGTATTTATAATATTCCTATAAAAGAGAAATACAAACGATATACTTTTGAGGCGATAAAATGCCTGTCAATCCATTTAATAATGGGACAGCATTTCGCTAGTCTCAGAGAATTTTTTAGAATGGATAGTGAACGACAGTCTTCCGAAGCGTGTGCTAATGTTATTCAGTTGTCGCACTTAGAAATGACGAATCAAGACGGTATAGAGAATTTAAACGATAATAAAAATAATGGAAATGTACCTGTGTTAAACTCTAATCTGATCTTGCACGGCGAATGCAAGCTGGATGGACATTTAGACAACGATCATTTAAATTTAGATCTAGATAATCATAATTCTAAATTTGAAACTTTGTACAGTCAACCAGTTGAAACTGAGGATTCCAAGCAACTTTGTAACAATGGAAATATAACTAGCGAGATACGATACAAACAACAGGAGCCATGTTGCAGCAGTTCTGAGGGTAGTAATACTAGTAGTAGTTCAGAAGATAGTCCTATGAATCCTCCTTTACGGAGATCTTCTAAAACTTTATCATTCGGGAAACGGAAAGGTATGATATGTCCTTTTTGTACATGTTCTTGTAATCTTCAGTGTTTCAATATATATCTCTAATAATTTAGGTAAACAGCGTAACAAGGATCAAAGTCCTGTATGTACCCACGTTTTATCTTCGAAAAAGAAACGAAGCAATTGGGTATTGAAATTTAATTGTGCCAAGAGCAAAAGTTCTAAAAGCACTGATATTATTCCTGGTCACGGGAATAATAGTTCAGATTGCGTGTGTACCGGTTATAGAAGAACTGAAGAGCATCCTATAGGAGCTGGTGTGATATTTAATAGTCGATCCGCTCCGCAAAGTCCAGTGCTTGGACCTCTTCCACCCAGCCCTGTAATCGATCTTTCAAGGTTCAATCCAGAGGAGTTTCCAATGGAAGTACGTGATACTGTTCTTTTTTCTATGAAAATACGCGTATGCGAAACGTGATTGTTTTGATAAATTTTATTACAGGATTGCGACGAAAGAGCTCGATTACAGCGCGCACGAGAAATGGAGGAAGGTATCGAACCTCCTCCTGGTTATAAGCCTACTAATTCTTCAGGGATACAAGTACATCCAAATGGCATAACCGTAGACAGTTTAGCCGCGTTATTTCAAGCACATGCTGGCATACACGCTGCTGCGCTCACAGCATTATCCCAAATTGATTTTACTTTAATTCCGAATCTCGAAAGGCTGGCACATACACAAGTAAGCTGATCTATTTATATGTAAAAATAACGAAGCAGATAGTATTCTAAGGTTGCATATTTTTTTTTGTATTCGCAGGTTGATTACGTCCATTGTCTTGTACCAGATCTCAGATCAATTACTGCTTGTTCTTTTTATTGGGGTAAAATGGATAGATACGAAGCCGAACGTTTGCTAGAAGACAAGCAAGAAGGCACGTTCTTGTTGCGAGACTCAGCTCAAGAGGAGTTCTTATTTTCTGTTAGTTTTCGAAAATACGGACGTTCTCTGCATGCGCGAATTGAACAGTGGAATCATAAATTTAGTTTCGATTCGCATGATCCAGGCGTGTATGCCTCGGAAACGGTACGTCGTACATTATCTTCGTAAAAACAAAAAATGAACCGTTGAACTAACGACAATGATAAACGCTTTTGCAGGTGTGTGGTTTAATCGAGCATTATAAGGATCCATCTTGTTGTATGTTCTTCGAACCTATGCTTACGATACCATTACACCGAAATTTTGCTTTTCCATTACAACACTTGTGCCGTGCGGTTATAACCACGCGAACGACATACGACGGTATAAATAAGCTGCAATTGCCAAAGACGCTTAAAAGTTATCTCAAGGAATACCATTACAAGCAAAGGGTACGAGTCAGGCGATTGGATACTGAGAACGATTTGCAGTCAGATGGAAGATCCATATCATACAGTAGTTCCCGCTGTCAAGTAACAAAATCGGGACCCCCGATTATTTTGAAGGCGGTGTAAGGTAGAAAATTTTATCTTGCATCTAGGTCGAAGCCTAACGGCTCGCTCGAAAGGAGAGTGAATGGGATGCAAAGAGAATGAGCGAGGTAGAACAATAGCAAATGATTCTCGCATTATATGCGCTTGATCATCACAACCTCAAAGTGATGCATATCGATGTATGAATCACTATTGTGAAATAAAATTTTTTGTTATATCTTTGCGAGGATATTATTAATGAACTGACGTAAATTCCCGATGAGAATGAGTCCAAACGTTGACTCATTCGGACTATTATTAATCGTACGTTATTCTAATCATTTCTATATAGATTTCAATTACGTATATTTAAGACTTGTCTGCGAAGAGTCGTGTTTGGAATTATTTTCACGGGAAGACCCACGTCGATCTTCTATTAATATTTTCGTAAAAATATATCGACAAATAAAAACAATTGTTTGTTTCCACTAGAAGATGAAATTCGGTCCCTTTTACGTATTTTATCGCTATGGTTCGGAACATCTTGGCCGATCGAGCTGAACAAATATAAACAGTGGTGGGTACGATTCCGAAACTTGAATTCGGTCTAGGAATTGGCTTTGGAAACTGGGAACTACTGTATTTATATTTAATATGAGTCTCTGTATTCATATTCAATAGAATTATTATACGTTACTTTATTAATTTTTCATTCGCATCTACCACTTTATTACAGTCATACATGGCATATGTACAGTATTGGGACCAATATCACTGCCAGGAGTGTCGATACTTACAAAAAGTGTGTTGATTTTTTCGTGATCGTTGAAAAAAAAATTTGAGGAATGATGTTTTTCTTAATATTGTCCGTCCTTTATGTTTTTTCATTCTATATTTCTAAATACGATTCTTCTACTATTATGGGCTTGCGATTGTATTTACATTCCTGTGATAAGTATCGATAATTTTTTAACGGAATATCTGATTTAAGGATTGGAGAAAAGAACGATTTGGATCCACTATTATCATATGCACAGTATTATAGCATCGAAGATCGGAAATTCTTTTCGATTCTTCTATCAACAGAATAATTGCAATATTAGCAAGTAAACCATAAATATTCTGCATAAAACAGAACAGTAGCTTAATTTAAACAGTAGCTATCATTTTAACCCTATCAACATCTACATTCACATCACAGATACATATATTCATTGATTTGGAGAAAGCAACATGTAAATACATTACAATGGCCACTTGAGATACACAACATACTATAAGTTTCATGTGTTTTAGTGTTTAAACTTTTATTATTATGTTTCTCATTTATTTGTAATTTGATTTTATCAATATTCATACAAAATACAACTGGATTTATACGTTTATTGTGTTTGTTAGAAATTATGAATGCCTTACGTTTGATATCATGGTAAATTTGTTTCTGAACACGATAGTTGTACTTTAATTTTCATGAAATTTTATTCATATCGCTCCTGTTGTGCCTACTTACATGCGAAATATCATTATTGAAAAACTGTCTGTGTTCGTGTTTATCATTATTAAATATAAAGAAACTCAAAAAATTGTGTACACATAAATTATTTTATCCCTGGTAATGTTCACATAAGAGATATTCTGCAGTTTTGAAAATTTAATACAAATAAAACTCGGATATTTTTTTAATGAACTTATTTAGCATTTTAATATCTATCATAACAAATTACATTACATGTGGTATTATAAATAAAAACAGCTTTGCTTACAAAAGAATTTCATTCAAGTATGCAGCGTATATTGCACCATTGGCAATAATACTTTATAATTGAATAAAAAGACAAAAAAGAAAAGTGTCAACATAAATATATCTATATTTAATATAGGAATTAATATATTATCTTCTTCGAATAGTTAATCATTGGTAACAGATCTCTCTAGCAAAAGTTTATGTTTAGTTTTAGAAACATTTGGTACATGTTAAAAAGGAT